CCCCCCCCCCCCCCCCCGCATCTTCCTGCCTCTCCCTGACTCCCCGGTGGTTTGGCACTTTTCATGTGTTTATCACCTATTCACTTTTCCTTCTAGGTGAATTCCAATTCACACCTTCTACCCAGTTTTTTCAGCCAGAAATTCTGTTTTCTGTTAGCATGGAAAGATGCTTTGTCTAGGAGAGAAATTTGGAATCCATCCTGGCCTGTCTTCTGGTGTCCTTTAACAATCATCTACATAGTAAACCAGGGTTTGCTCATCTTAAGACGATTTCCTCAGCCCAAAGTTTTAATGAATATCCTAAATTCTCTTCTACTTGAAGTGAAAAGTTTATTTTGGCCACAGTTGGCCGTTGCCAGGGGTAACCAGCGAGCAGTCAGTTAAAGGATGTCAGGTGATCGATAACTATCTTTCCTGGCTGCCATTACTGGGAGTCTACAGAGAGGGAAGAATCTAGAGAAATGAGATACTTAAGTTCTGGGTATCAAATTACTGTGGTTTGGAGAATTGCCACAAGTCAACAAAAATGGATGAGTCTGACCAAATGCTGCATCCCTGGCTCACACTACTCCCTCCGGGTGACTCTGCTTCAGAGATCTAGGGGGTCCTCATGCCCACTTGCTACAGATCACTATTCTCTCCAGAGGGCAAGCCCGGTAGTCCCAGAGCCCTCCTCTACGTCAACCCTGCCAGGTGAAACTCCTCCCCTGAGCCTCCTCTACACGGGTCAGCCCCAGCCTCCGCCTCACCAACCTCCACTCTGGGTGTCACCTCCTCCTAGAAATCAAAACCTGCATAGCCCTCTGTCTAGGAAGGTTCTTTGACCAACCATCCACATTAGAGTCCCTCCCTTTTGCCCCACGGGGTCCTAGACTTCCCTGATGTGTGTCCGCCACACTGTGCTACAGTGTACCAGACAGACCCAGCCCGTCAGTGTCAGTCAGCAGCAGGGTCTGAGAGGAACAATCCACATGTAAAAAGAGAAACTGTAGGGATATATTCTCCTGGGCACCTGTAACAGTGGCCACGCCTTTTGGGCATGGTTGCAGGTGCAGGAATGATGGGTTAAAGGGAAAGGATGGGGCTGGAGGGGGGGGAGACTGAGGTCTGGGAGAGCATGGAAGAGGCAGAGTTGCATCCTTGGAGCAGAAATGGCTCAGTAGTCAGTTGCTGTTTCTATGCAAGTTCTCTCACCAGTAAAACTCCACTAATCATTCGTACTGTGTCTGGTGAATCCTTAATTCCCACACCTTCAAGAAGCTCTGTTGTGAGTGAAATGCCAGGGAAAGGAAGAGTGTGGAATGCTGCAGAGAAAAGTCCCTGCTGAGGGGAAGAACCATCTAGTCCAGAGGCTTCACTGGTGTCGAGGGTTTGGTTTTGTTTGCTTTGGAGCACTGGAGGTTGACCCGGGGCTCCTTACGTATTACACATGTGCTGTACCACTGAGCTCTATCCCCAGCCTTCATTTTAGTTTTTAATTTTAAGGCAGGGCCTCATTAGGTTGCCCAGGTTAGCCTTGAACTCACTCTATAGTTCAAGCAGGACCTGAACTCAAAACACTCCTGCCTCATCTTCCTGGCGCCAAAACAAAGCACAGTTCTCAAAGGGAGCAAGAGGTAGTTCATTCTGGAGCCAAATATGAGTGGCCACGCTGGTGAATAGAGATTCAGCCTGCCACAAGTAACTGACTCCAGTGTGTAAATGTTTTCCTGAAGTTTTTATAGATACAAAATAAAAGAAAGTAACACATACAGATTGTATCAGTGGAGATGGTTTATAGGTGGGTTACAGCAAAGCGGGAGATTTCTTGCTCTAGGTTTCCAATGCTGTGTGATGAGATGCTTTACTTTGCAGTGGGTGGAAATTTACTTTGCAGTGGGTGCAGTGCTCTACTAATTCAATTCATTCCCAACATTCCACGTGCTAGGTGATAGCCACAGGACATGACAACACACACAGAGTTGGGCATTAAATCACTATTATATGTGGTCTACATATAGCCAAAGGCAAGCACAGAAATATGGATCAGTTGGCAGAGTGCCTACCTAGCATGCATGAGCCCAGGGTTCAGTCTCCAGTAACCACAAACACAGGGTGTGGTGGCACGTGCCAATAACCCCTGCAGTCAGAAGACAAAGGTGGGAGGATCAGAAGTTTAAGCTTATCCTTGGCTATATAGTGAGTTCAAAGCCAGCCTGGCATACATGAGAACCTGTCTCCAAAAAAGTATAGTAGCCCAAGAAAATCTGGCCACAAATCTGCACATTCCAACACTCCACAAACAGGAAATGTCTGCTCACACCAGCCTGCCTACGTCACTGCCAGGCCCACATGTTGATGTAACTTAGAAAGTAGCAAAGACCAACCCCCACCCACCCACCCAAACTTCAGAAATCATGCCCATCAACACTGGAGCAAGACACTTCCCTCCCATAGCAAAAAGAATGGATGGCATGTTTTAGTAATAAACCATTTTTAAATTAAGGCATGCATACTGTATCTTAGACAAACTACATTGCACATTTTATGAGCTATTAGTGCAGATGTGGTTTTGTATGTTCTTGGAAATAAACAAAAATCGGTGTAATTCGAATCATTATGTTACTTGCTTAACTGTGGGATTCCTGAGTGAAGCCTGCTATATCACCAATGTGTCTTGTGCAATGCTGATTTCTTGTTTTCCATTCCAGGCTCTAGTTGGGAGTGGGGAGTGGGGACGGGAGCTGGGCCAGCACCTCTCTTGCTTGCTTCTGTATTCCTTTACACCCAGGGCAGTCCTGACACATATCAGTTTATTTTTAGGAGACCAAACCAACCCACAAAGGCACTCATGGATGAATGATTGCGGCCCCTCTTTACCTGGCAGATAGGAACTATTCCTGCACCATCGCGGGTGAGCAGTCCGGCCTGCAGAGGGCGCCAGTCTGCTTCCATAGCTCCCAGTGGAACCCAGAGCCCGGACCTGCTGTCAGTCAGACGGTGCCAAGCTGCTCAGTGGTCATTTTGCTGCGCTGGAGACGAAGTAGGAGTTCCGATGCATACAATCCGAGTGCACTCCCTTCTCACAAGTCCCACACTCCCTACCTCGCTTATGAGTAGAGCTGTAACTGTAGCAACCGGTGTCGGGTGGAGATGTGAGAGGAGCCCAGGAGAGAGAGAGAGGGTCGGAGCAACAGGGGATGAGGCAGGCTCATCAGAGTCTGCACTGATTTTTAGAAAGTTCTTCTACGGCTCCAGCTCTTCTCTTCTCTTCTCTCCTCCTCTCTCTCTCTCTCTCTCTCTCTCTCTCTCTCTCTCTCTCTCGGATAACTAAAGTCTAGACTGGTTAGCATCCACAAGAGAAACACCTAGAAGGAGAAGTTTTCCAGCAGCTTGCTCAGGACCCTCGGGAGCCACAGCTGGGAGTCACCCTCCGTTAACCATGAACTCTTCCTGCTGCCTGTTCTCTGCTTCTCCGATGCTGCCTAACCTCTCAGAGCACCCTGCAGCCCCTTCGGCCAGCAACCGGAGTGGAGGTGGGTTCTGCGAGCAGGTCTTCATCAAGCCGGAGGTCTTCCTGGCTCTGGGCATCGTCAGCCTGATGGAAAACATCCTGGTAATCCTGGCTGTGGTCAGGAACGGCAACCTGCACTCGCCCATGTACTTCTTTCTCTGCAGCCTGGCTGCAGCCGACATGCTGGTGAGCTTGTCCAACTCCCTAGAGACCATCATGATCGCCATTATCAACAGCGACTCCCTGACCTTGGAGGACCAGTTCATCCAGCACATGGACAATATCTTCGACTCGATGATCTGCATCTCCCTGGTGGCCTCCATCTGCAACCTCCTGGCCATCGCTGTGGACAGGTATGTCACCATCTTCTATGCCCTACGTTACCACAGCATCATGACAGTGAGGAAGGCCCTCGCCTTGATCGTGGCCATCTGGGTTTGCTGTGGCATCTGTGGTGTCATGTTCATCATCTACTCGGAGAGCAAGATGGTCATCGTGTGTCTCGTCACCATGTTCTTTGCCATGGTGCTCCTCATGGGCACCCTGTACATCCACATGTTCCTCTTTGCTAGGCTGCACGTCCAGCGCATCGCGGCATTGCCGCCTGCCCATGGGGTGGCCCCACAGCAGCACTCGTGCATGAAGGGGGCTGTCACCATCACCATCCTGCTAGGGGTGTTCATCTTCTGCTGGGCACCTTTCTTCCTCCACCTGGTCCTCATCATCACCTGCCCCACCAACCCTTACTGCATCTGCTACACGGCACATTTCAACACCTACCTGGTCCTCATCATGTGCAACTCTGTCATTGACCCCCTCATCTACGCCTTCCGCAGCCTGGAGCTGCGCAACACTTTCAAGGAGATTCTCTGTGGCTGCAATGGCGTGAACTTGGGCTAGAGTACCAGTGGAGGTGCCCTGTGTCTAGCCAAGGAGCTTAGAGACAAAAGCAACTCTCAGAAGAGACGTAAAGAATGTTAGCAGCCGTGACTGAGCTTGGCTTTGTCTTCGCAAGGCTGGTGGCCCTTCGCAAAGGACAGGTGGTGTAGGATGGGCTCTCTGTGAGGATCTGCGTGTGGGTAAGTCTGAGTCTGATCTTCCACTTGGTCTCTGGAAGAATCGGGGAAGGCTGCACTTGGTGTCCTCTGTGTTCATTACTGGGCACCCAGGGCTTGTGATTTCTGCCTGCCCATCTGCTTTGTAACTGTGTGCTTCAAGCCAACGAGATGGAGGGCTCTCGTGAACAGTATGAGTGCAAGCAAACCTGCTCACAGCTACCACCTCCAGCTGTCTGCTTCATGGAGGGCTTTGTGCAGATTCCGAGAGAGACTGAGTTTCCATTCCTGTGGTTACAATGTGTAAAAGCAATGCAAGGCTAAGTTTGGATTTTCCCTTCCAGCCTTCACATCCATACCAGTCCCCCCCTACCCCTGCAAAAAGAAAATAGCATGCAGATGTGACCCCCTTCTTTCTATGCTATTGTCAGGGTTGTTACTGTTATTGGGGTTTCATTCATTAAATCTAAGCTTCAAAACCTAATAAATCAAAGTGCTATGACCAGTGACAGGTCCTTGTATCCTTGGACTTTGCTACCTGGTCATTTTAAGGTAGATGTTACTAAACAAAAATTGTCTGTCTACTGTTGCTTCTCTGCCTGCAGGAAGGTATGTATTTCACTAGAAACTGCTTTGCTGTTGTTGACGATGCCTTGAGCAGCTGGGTCTGCCTCTAACCCTTACTCCCAAGCTCCTCTCCCCACTTCTGCTGTGTGTCTATCAAGTGGTTACTTCACTCTTATCTATGAGAGAGGCTGTGTTTTGGCTGTTCCTTCTTCTGCTAGATATGATGTTAAAGTCAAATGACCCTGTTGGCAACATCTGTACCTTGTCAAATAAAGCAGTCACTCCCACCACCACAGGGCGAGCTTTACAGGCGTTCTGTATATCACTGTGTGCTGCTGACAACTGTGGGTCCCTTCTTGCCCTAAACAAGTTCAGCCAGCGCTTTCCCCTCTGTCTGTGTTTTCCTGTTCTCAAATATATGGCATGGAGAGACCACGCTTGAATTGTTCCTGCTAACGAATTAGTAAACATCATTTGTTTCTTGCTTTGATTGCGGTGCTGGGTGATAATAAAGGCTTCGGCTTCTGTGGCCACTAAACACATGTGATGTTGTGGTGCAGCCATGGCCCTGCGTCATACTGTGCCTCCCACACAGGGGCACGGTACAGGGTCTAAGTGCATGGTATTCCCACAGAATTGAGGGCTGGGGGACAGATCGGTACTTAAGAGCACTGGCTGCTCTTAGCCGAGCACCTACACGATGGCTCACAGACATCTGTGACTCCTGCTCAAGATCCAGCTCTCTCTCTTCTCACCTCTGAGGACGGGCACTGCATGCGTGTGGTGCACAGACATGCATTCAGAAAACACACCCATATCCATAAGATAAAAATGAACAAATCATAAAAGTAGTGAGAAAGCTAGTGTTTCCTGGTTCAATTCCTTTCAGTCAAACCACAAAACTCTCCCATTTAGTTTTCCAAATCACCGGGCGTCTGGCTCTCCAGCCACTGTCAGTTCTCACGGTTTTACTTGAAACACTAAATAAAAGGAATTTACTGGCTGCTACTCAGGAAGCAAATATGGGAAATGGAAAGTCAAAACTACAGGACCAGCTGCAGGAATTGCAATGCCCTCACTCTGTTTAAACAAGATAAAAATCACCTACTCCTCCTGTTTTGTGTCATTTTTCACATTGTTTCATCATCGCCTGTCAGCAAACCTTCAAGTGGTATCATTTTGGGTGTGAACACATGTGCTCCTGTGGGCTTTAGAGGACAGTGAGGCTGTGGGGGGATCCAGCCATGGTGTGTCCTGTGTCCTGTGTCCTGCGGCTGACATCTGTTGACATGTTGCTGTCAATGGATTTCCACAATCAAATGGGACCTAGTTGTCACTGTGAGCATCAGTTTTAGGGTGCATGTTTAGATAAGGGTGCCCCAAGAGTCACCCAGCCCCTTCCTCAGGTGTACAATGGTCCTGAAGGTCTGAGCAGAGTCCTGAGAGAAGGTTCTGCTACGTCTGACTCCCCAGGATTTGGCTGCTGGTCAGAGGACCACATCTTCAGAAGAGTGGGCACCGGAGACTTTCAAATAAGCCTGGTGTGGGTCTTCATGGAGTGCTGACCTGTGCCAGGAGCTGAGAAAGAAATGTCTAGACGCTTATTCTGCTCGGACCCTTACAACAGCCTACGAGACAGACACTGACTATCTGTGCGTTACAGATGAGATCTCTGAGACTCGGGTTAAGGGATTTCTGGAGGAACTCTGCTGACAAGTGCAGGCAGAGAGAGTCTGCCTCAGGCTCTGCAGCCCTTGTCCCCTCATCAACCCCTCTGTGGTTTCAGTGTGAAGTATCTCCCACAGCCCATGTGTTTAGACACTTGACCCCCGGTTGGTAGTTGCTATTTTGGAAGGCTATCTTCACATTGGGTGTTTCAAAGCAGGGCCTAGCTGGAGGAAGTAATTTGGAAGCCCAGCCCCAATTCCTGTCTGTTCTTTGCTTCCTGACTGTGGAAGACAAGTGGCTAGCTACCTCCAACGCCTGTCACAATGACTCTCCCACCATGATGGACTCTATACCCTCTATCCATGGGGTAAAATAACCCCTGTCCCTCGTGTTGCTTTTTGTCAGGTATCTGGTCACAAACATGAGAAAAGTAACTAATGTGTGAGCCACAGTTTCCTCCTCATGGAAGCTGGAGGGGCGGCTGGAGGGGCGGCTGGAGGAGCGGCTGGCTGAGACCTGAATGACATTAGATGCCATGGAAGAAGGTTCTCCACCACCTTCTGAGAGCTCTATGAGTTTCCAGAAAGATACGTTACAATAAAGGGGCACACCAAATTATTTACTTGGTAAAATTTTCTGAAAGTGTCCATGACCCCATGGAACGCAGAAGAGGCAAGCCGACATCTATGCAAGCTTTCACTGACTTCCTTTCCTTGGGAAAACAACCCTGGAAGCTGGGGTGCTGCTGCTGGCCCTCGTCTCCTGCTACAGTCCATCTCAGATCTTTATGAGGGAACTGCTGCTGGCCCTCGTCTCCTTCTACAGTCCATCTCAGATCTTTATGAGGGAACCTATGGGATGCTGGGACTCGGGGTATGAAGATGCATTGTCTCCCCCCATCTAGAGCAGGACTCTGCCAGCCTGCTGTCCGAACCAAGGAAGGTGCTTCTCCCCCCGCCCCTCTCTCTCTATAGATAGGTAGGTAGATAGATAGATAGATAGATAGATAGATAGATAGATAGATAGTGGGGGTGATGTGTATATTTCTCTGTGGGGCCACCCACACAGTAACCACTGAGGGTGGACTGTGACCTTCCTCCCAGCATGCACATGCACAGTCTTTTCTGACTATCTGTTGAAGTGAAGTTAAAGCAAATGATTTTTAGCGGATGCCAACCAGGAGGAGTCCTGAAGGTAAGGACTACCACGTCCTAGTTGGAGAGCTGAGATTATAAACAACAGATTTCCTTTAGTAC